TATCCAGCTCACCAAGGATCTCCCATGCCTTCACTGACCCTCTACTTCACCAAGCATGATGTCCTCCTCTAGCAATTGGTCCCTCCTGATGATACGTCCAAAGCAAACGAGTCAGACAATGTTCTGTTGTGGTCTATAAGGCAATTTTCAGAAGTAGATTGCCAGGCCTTTCTTCCTAGTCTGTCTTAGTCTGGAAGCTCTGCTGAAATTTGTCCACCATGGGTGAGCCCGCTGGTATTTGAAATACCCATAGCATAGCTTCCAGCATCACAGCAACACGCAAGTCACCACAGTACGACAAACTGGTACTTAGCAGAATACATTTTAGAAAATGCTGAAGTCAAAGACTTGTTGATTCTGTTTAGCTCAAGCCAGAGCTACTAGTCTTCATGAGTTCCCTAGCACTAAAAACGGTTCACCAGACTTGAGCAAGGCCCAGGTGGCCAACTGCAGACCAGGCACCTTACCATGAACAAACAGATTCTCTCCTAAAAGCTCTTGACTTTCTGTGGGTGACACAAGAGTAGCAGCAGAATCCATCTGAGCCCAGGATGCAATGGGCAATTTATGCAGCCTATAACCCTGCTGAGGGAGCAGCAGAAACATATACAGACCCCGCTGGGCTCCTGCCATCATGTCACGTTCAAGAGTGAATCTAAACCATCACTTCCTTTGGTCAAACCAAGAACACCTGTTCTTCAACTAGCAGACTAAAGCTGAAACCATTTCTAGTATGCAGAGTCTACGGCACAGGGAAGTGTATGCCAGCAGCTTCCCAGTCCACATACTGGTGCCACTGGATACAGCTAGCCCACCTGCCCTCAGCTTCCCTGCCCTGCTCCCCCCACCCACCCACACATCATACACCTTACTCACACAGAGGGCCACCTCTTGACTGCTGGCAGGTGGACAAGAAGCTGTCCTTGGGCTACACTGACTGCCAGAGGGAGTTTGGGGGACAAAACTGCTGCTGAGAAAACTAGCAAATCAAAGGGCACGGCTGGCATTTCCTTCTGTCTTGGTGACATCTTCATTTTGGACAGAGAGTAGAGTCTGGATAACACTGACAGCTGTTGGTCCTGCAGGAGGCCTGGAGCCCACGGTCCCTCCAAATGGCAAGTTCTGTGGCTCCCTCCCTCTTGCTCTGCGGCCTGCGGGCTGTCACCTGAAGCCCTGCCTGGCTCTGTTCCCCTCCACAGAGACTCGCTGGCAGCCAGGCTGTGTTCTGTCTGACATTCACAATCTGCTCTACTCAAACCACATCAAGGAGTTGGGAACCAACACGTCACAAACGAAGTGGATGGTAGGAAAAAAGCAACTGCCTACCAGGCATAAGCTGAGTGTGAAAAGTCACCTTCCTCCAAAAACTCCTCTCCCACCAGCTGTAAATGCCTAAATTATTGCAGGAAGAGCTGAATTCCTTTGACGGAAAGCAGGGACAGCAAGTGGGGAGGTGTGCAATGCCTGACACCACTTCTTCCTCTGTATTCGGGGCATCGCCACGCAACCCAGGAATTCTTTCTTGCTGTGCCCTGACTTTGTCCCTCGTTCCTTCAAAACCCAGGCCATCACTGCCCTACTAAGCTTCTGGTGGGGTTTTAATCCCTTTAAATATACCTTCCCGCTTGTGTGGGTTAAGTGGAAAGCTTTAAAATAATTTTAAATAATCCAGGAAAAAAGGGGAGATTGTTCATAAATGTTGAAGTTCAGTGATGAATACATGAGGGTTCATTATATTTTTCTATTTTTATGTATGTTTGAAATTTCCGTAAGAAAAAGTGTAAAATAACAAGTTAATACATTGTTATTGTTGGGTCAATTCCATCTCAGAGCAACACCATAGGACAGAGTAGGACAGCCCCATAGATTTTCCAAGGTTATAAACTTTCTTTTTAAGTTTCCCACCAAAGTTAACACTTGTCTACTATCTAGTTAGTCATTTCCCCTCCCTACCTTTCCCCTCCCCTCCCTTGTAACCATCAAAGATTGTTTTTTCTGTGTGTAAACCTTTTCTTGGGTTTTTATAACAGTGGTCTCATACAATATTTGTCCTTTTTGTGATTGACTTATTTCACTCAACATAATGCCCTCCAGATTCACCCATGTTGTGAGATATTTCGCAGATTCATCATTGTTCTTTACCATTGTATAGTATTCCATTGTGTGTATGCACCATAATTTGTCTATCCATTCTTCTGTTGATAGGCACCTAGGTGGTTTCCATCTTTTTGCTGTTGTAAATAATGCAGCAGTGAACACGGGTGCCCATATGTCTATTTGTTTGACAGCTCTTACTTCTCTAGGATATATTCCTAGGAGTGGGACTGCTGGATCATATGGTATTTCTGTTTCTAGCTTTTTAAGAAGGTACTTGTCTTATGCTGCGTTCTCTAGAGAAGCAAAACCAGTAAAGTGTATAAATATATATATAGAGAGAGAGATTTGTATCAAGGAAATGGCCCATGCCATTGTATACACTGAGACATCCCAAGTCCGTGGGTCAGGATAGAGGCTTCTCCTGATTCATGTAGCCACAGGGGCTGGCAAACCCACAATCAGCAAGTCAGACAGCAGGACTCCTGCTCACAGGCTGCAAAGATCAACAAATCCCATGATTGGCAGGCAAGACAGCAGGTAAGCTCCTAGCTCAAATCCCAAGAACTGGAGGTCAGGCAAACAGGAGCCAGCTGCAGGATCCAGAGTGAGCAAAAGCCCAAGAGTCTTGCCAGAAAGTCCATTTATATATTCAACACAGGCCATACCCCCAAGAAAACTCCATTTCAGCTGACTGGCTACTCACAGCAGATCTCATCATGGAGGTAATCACATTATATCAAATCTCATCATGGAAGTGATCATATCATCATAGGACTGCCAAGCTACATTATAACTGCCAAACCACTGAGAATCATGGCTCAGCCAAGTTGACACATAACCTTAACGATCACAGCACCATTTCATTTTCCACAGTGGTTATACCATTTTACACTCCCATTAGCAGTGCATAAGACTTCCAATCTCCCCACAACTTCTCCAATATTCGTTATTTTCTGTTTTGTTTTGTTTTTAAATTTTATTAGTGCCAATAATATCAGGGTGAGATGGTATCTCACTGTAGTTGTTTTGTTTCGTTCTGTTTTAATGTGCTTTCAGTGAAAGTTTACAGCACAAACCAGTTTCTCATAGGCTATAAGCTTTATGGAAGCAGATCACCAGGTCTTTCTCCCAAGGTCTGAACCCACCAACGGCTCTGCCAGAGAAAAGACCTGGCAATCTGCTCCTGTAAAGATTACAGCCTAGGAAACCCTATGGAGCAGTTTTACTCTGTGTTATAGGATCAGTATGAGTCAAAATCAACTCAACGGCAAACATCTATCCTAAAGGTTGGCAGTTTGAACCTATCCAGCTGCACTACAGAAGATAAGGCCTGGCAATCTGCTTCCATAAACACTGTAGTCAAGAAAACCCTATGGAGCAGTTATAGCCTGTATCACATGGGGTCATGAGATGGAATCAACTGAACAGCAACAAGTTTATATATACCCACTACTGTTGAGTCAATTCTGACATATATATATATATATATATATTGGAGCCTTGGTAGTACAGTGGTTAAGTGTTTGGCTGCTAGCCAAAGATCGGCCAGCCACTCCTTGGAAACCCTATGGGGCAGTTCTACTCTGTCCTATAGGGTCACTATGAGTCAGAATTGACTCAACAATCACAGGTTTTATATATATATCCTTCCCAACCTGATATCACTTTAAACAGTTATTGGCAATTTAAACTGTGATGTGAATGAGTTTTTATGTCTTTTTTAGAGCAGACTTTGATAGTTAAAAGAAAAAAAAGGATCGCTGAACTCTTATTGGGCAGGAAGGGGCCACTAGTTGGGAAGGGAAGAAAAGCAAATAGATTTAGGAGGCTGAAGTCCCCAAAAACATGGAATGATGCTTGTTTTACAAACTGTTGAGATCAGTGCTATTTAAGAAAAATCATACTGGATTGCAAAGTTTGGTGAAGAAATTGAATGGCCATTTGCTCTTCTCATTATGGATTTCTGAAGCTTTCAACTTTGCTGTTACCTGCCTCTGCTTTTCACATCAACCATTTTGAGTATTAGAGGTCAAGGTTTTGATTTGAGCTATGAGCTTTAAAAGTTTGTGAACTTACCTGCTGATTCAGTGGATCCAGTTTTCAGGCTAATGACTCTATTCTTTTCTCTGATTCATAAGACACCCATAGATCTGCCCTTAGCCTCCAGTAGATTTAGAAAAGTTCACTTCTTGTCCATAATTTATTGAACCATTCTTGATAAAGCATCCCAGATGAGGTCAACCCTTAAAATACTGTGAAGTGGGAGAAGTTGGAGTTCCCAACCCACAAGCCCAACTCATCCTCTCCCCATAATGCCCCTCTCTAAACTTACACTGTTCCCTTATTTAAAAAACAATCAATAAACATGCAATTCTACGATAGGAATATCAATTCTTAAAGCTTTCAGCAATAGGAGTCTGATTCAGTAAATTGGAGTCATTCAAACAATGGGCTAGGAATGCAACTGTCAAAAAGAATGAATTAGATCTATAGGGGCTGATATGGAAGGATCTCCAAGACGTACTATTTAACATGTGGTGAAAGTCCAATTGTCCTGTGGGCCTGAAGGGCCAAGGTCTTTCCTACTTAGAGGGGAAGGTTCTGACCTGTTAATCCCAAGAATTGACAGTGGACCACTGATAAATCTTGTCAATTAGCATAAAGCTACAACTAAATGGTTAAACACACTGGGATGACAGAATTTTAAAATATTCCTGTGCCTTGTTCCAGAAAAAAGTAAAGCTATCCCCTCCACATTTGCACTGGTGCACAGCGAGCAAAAGAAACAAAGCCAGGCTCAGTTGGTGCATATTTATGACTGCCTTTGGGGATGGAAGGCAATTACCTTAAGATCCAAACCTGTAAGTTGAAGGTTTCTGAGCATCTGGTATTTTCTTTGTTTATTTTCTTCTTTTTATGCCTGAGTATTTAGTGAAGACCTTTGAAGATGCCAGGAGATCCCATTCATGCTAAAGACAAAAAAGGAAAGGAGATATTTTGCTTCCCAAGTATAAATTTCAAACAGGAAGTTGTGTACTCGTGAGTGGTGTGGCATCAAATAAGTAAGTCAACATTGAATATAAAAGTGAAACTCAAGAGGACAAGCTCTTTTAGTTCACGCTCCCATCTGGATTTATATATATATATATGACCCTTCTCTGCTGGAAGTTTTATGTTTACCTTAACAGAGTGTGGCAGAGACTACCACATTCTCCCCTTCAGCCACATATAGTCTCTGATTTTTGGCTGGGCAGGGCTGCGAGCAATAAAGACTACAATGTCTCAACCTCTCTTGCTACTGGGTGTAACCAATTGACTAAATTCTGGCCAAGGAAAAATTGGAGTAAACGGTAAGTATAATTTCCTTAGAGAGAAATGAGACTCCTCCTCCTTTCCTTCTTCCTATTGGCTGGAAAGTGAACATAATGGCTGGAGTATGAACAGCCATTTTGGACCACAAGATAGAAGTTTCATATTAAAGATGGAAGCTTCATATTAAAGATGGAGGAGCAATAAGTGTTGCTGGGTTCTCAATGATTATAGAACTGGCGCCTGGGTTCTCAATGATTGTAGAACTGCTATACCAGTTCAGGACTACCTATATTTGCCTGAGAGAGAAATAAACTTCAATTTAGTTTCAGCCACTGTTGGGTTGGACTTTCTGTCACTCGTGCTGCTGTTGTTAGTGGATGTAGAGTTGGCCTGGGACTCATGCCTACCTTAGGCACAATGGAATGAAACACTGCTCAGTCCTACATCATCCCCATGATGGGTTTCCGATCAGATCGTTGTGATCCATAGGGTTTTCATTGGCTGATTTTTGGAAGTAGATCGCCAGACCCTTCTTTCTAGTTCTGTCATTCATAGCCAAGCCTAAACCTTGTGCATATTTATGACTATCTTTTGATAGAAAATCTAGAGGTAGAAAATCTTCTGAGGTCTTCTGCTTTAAAAGAGTCCAGGTGCATATGTATGAATCTTATTTGTGTTCTGAAGTAGTTCAGCAGCCATTCTTACAGGACTGGGAATAAGGTTATCATGGACGCTTCCAGAGGTACGTCATGCTTCCGCCTCTTTTTATGCAGAAAAATATAATTCCTGGAGGTGTCCTAGAGGCCTTCCTCCCCAAGCCCACCCTTGGAATCACCTGCACAAGCAAAAAGCTTCCTGCCAGGAGGTTTCTGGTGGCATACAGAAACCTCAAGCCAAACACGGAGCTGGGAAGGAGGTTGGCACATAGGGAGGAAAGTCCCAAGAACGAGATTAAATTTCCCCCCAGCATAGTACTAGAGGATGCAGAGTCAAAGTTAAGTTAATTTGTGGATAATTAGAGAATTTGAGATTTCATGACCACTTGAGTTTGGAGACCGAGAGTGGTACCTGCTATACCAACAAAACTCATGTACTGATCACTTTTGGTGACTAAGTAGTATTGCTTCTTCCTGCCCCCACTCCTTTCCTCCAGGAGTACCTGGAATGCTATTCCTGCCCCAGATTCCTTCCCCTCAGCCCACCTTGGCTTTCAGCTGCAGCTGTGAGAGACAGCTGGCATGCAGGCTCCAGCAAACCACCTCAAGCACCCTCTGTGTCTCTCTACTTGTCTGTCAATTCTAAAGCCAGTTACTATGGAGTTGATTCCAACTCATGGCTATGCCACGTGCGTCAGAGTAGAATTGTATGTCATAGGGTTTTCCGTGGCTAATCTTCTGGAAGTAAATAGCCAGGCCTTCCTTCTAAGATGCCTCTGGGTGGATTTAAACCTCCATCCTTTTGGTTAGCAGCCAAGTGCATTAACCATTTGCACAACCCAAGGACTCTCTTGTCTGTCAAGGGAATTTTTTATCGAAATCCCAGGATCTAAGAGTACAGAAAGTCTGAAGTTACAGGGATTAAGGTTCCCAAGGCAACCCTCAACCAATGAGACTGGAAGTCAGCAAATCAATTCTCCAGCCTCCACTCCTTCAAAGAGACAAGTCTGTAGTGTCCTTGACAGGATTGAGCCCAGTTGCCCACAAGGGTAACCAACTCACTGTTGACTTTGCTCACTTCCCTGCCTCACTTTATTTGCTCCCTGGAAGAGCAAATAAACTAACTGCTCCCAAGTCCTTTTTTCCAGCTCGACTTTTGGGGAAACCCAAACTAAGACAAATAGCTAGATTATTACTGTTTACTCCATCTCACTCATTCTGTAGGATCCTAGAGCCAGCTCCTGAAACATAATTTGCACATTTCAGCTGGAAAAACTTAAATCTCTTAATGTCAGTCAATAGGCTAAACTATTTTGTCTGTTTCTAATCAGGAAGCTGGAGTCCCTGGGTGATGCAAATGGTTAACATGCCTAGCTGCTAAGTGAAAGGTTGGTGGTTTGAGTCCATCCAGAGGTGGCTTGAAGAAAAGCCTGGCAATCTACTTCTGAAAAACCAGCCATTGAAAACCCGATGGGGCACAGTTCTACTCTGACACACATGGGGTTGCCATGAGTCGGAATCGGCTCTGCAATAACTCTTGTTTTATCTGGTAACTGCAGCTACTTTCCTTTTGCCTTTAACCATTTCAAGAAACCACCATTTCTAGATTCCAAGACTCTTGCCTCTCCTCCCCAGCCTGGGCTCCCCGCAGCCCTCTGGCTGTAACCAGCAGATCCTGAGTGTTTCTGTCTTCTGCCCTGTCTGTGTAATAAGCCCCAGGAGGCTGGCACGCTAAGCATTTCAGTGCCCACTGGAGGGCTTGCAATTTCCTCTCTAATTAGGAAGGTGAAAGGGCCGTGCAGAGAAGGCTTTGCTCTCATCAGACACCGGCATTACACCCCCTGGTTTATCTTCTCCCCCTCCCCATCAGCCTGCTCAAGCCCACTGCCTCCCAGCCACACACAACTGCTCAGGTTAAGATGCGTCAAGATGGAAAGTTGCCAGTTGATTAAGATAAAAATAAAATAATCAAAATACGTAACATGTTCCTCCTTAGAACAGATGGCCGGGGAACCTGCCTCATAACATTGAACATCAAAAATGAATCAGAGGCTCATCTTCCTGCATAATTAAGAATTCGCTCACTGTCTGTGCTGCAGCCAGGCAGGATCTGGAGATGCTATCGGCAAGGGTTGAGAAACGACACAGAATCCCTTGATTCTGACGTGAGCCTCTCTTTAGCTTTCTCCTCAGTCTGTTGGTCGACACTGGTCTGCATCAGACCGGGTGGGCTTGAGCATGTTGGGGGAGGGGCTGGAGGGCTGGAAGGACAGTAAAAAAAGAACTGAAAGATATGTCAATCCACTCTTTCAGGAGGGTCTGAAGCTACTCTTTATCAGACTGTACCTGTTGACACCTCTCCCAAAGAAACAGTATTCAAGCCACCTCCTGTTTTTTACCTCATGGAGACATCCCAGTCCAGGCTCCCATCACTTCACTCCAGTTACAGCATCACTTCACTCCAGTGAAGCACACTGTATCGTGATTTATTTGTTTACTTGTCCGAGCTCCCATGAGCTCTTCGAAAGCAAGGATCATTTCATATGTGACTTGATATCACAGAGCCCAGCAAAGACCTAAATAAATGTTTGATAAATGAATGACTGAACAAAATAATCGAAATTATTCAAAGAGCCTCGCGATTGGTCTAGCTCCCTCCATTCTCTCTGGGCTCTGTTCCACGTGGCCACTAGGTTAAATCTTTCTAAAACATCACCTTCAATGAGATAGACCTATAGGTGCTGGTACGAAATTATCTTCGAGATATACGGTGAGGTTAAACAAGTACGATGGGGAACAACGTATGTATTATTAAAAAACAAAACCTGTTGCTGTCTAGTCGATTCTGACTTATGGCAACCCCATGTGTTTCAGAGTAGAACAGTCTTCCATAAGGTTATTAAGGCTGTGAACTTTCAGAAGCAGATCACCAGGCCTTTCTTCTGAGGTGCCTCTGGATGGGTTCAAACTGCCAACCTTTCGGTTAGTAGCTGAGCACTTAGACATTTATGCTTACAAAGGGAGGCAGGATATGCACATACATATAGTTTACATATTCCTAAAATATTTCCAAAAGATATACAAGAAAATGAAAAAATTGTTGTCTCTGGGGAGGGAGCTAAGAATGAGAAAAAACTTGCTTTTCATTATAAATCTCTCTGTAGTCTGAATTTTTACCTTGCACATGAGTTTTTACTTTATGAATTCAAAAGCTAGTTAATAATAATAGTTTTAAGAATCACTTGTTAAATTACTCTCTTGCTGTTACAGGTTGAATTGTGTCCCCCAAAAAGATATGTTGAAGTCCTGACTCCCAGTCCCTGTGAATGTGACCTTATTTGAAAAGAGGGTCTTTGCAGATGTAAATCAGTTGACATGAGGTCACACTGGAACAGGGTGGGCCCTACTCCAATATGACTGGTGTCCTTACAGAAGTGGAGAGACACAGAGACAGACAACATGCAGGGAGAGCAGCCATGTGAAGATGGGGGCAGAGATTGGAGTGAGGTTGCCACAAGCCAAGGAACGCCTGAGGCTACCATAAGCTGAAAGAGACTGTCATGTTGAATTGTGTCCCCCCAAAAATGTGTGTATCAATTTGGCTAGGCCATGATTTTCAGTGTTGTGTGGTTGCCCTCCATTTTGTGAGGATTAGGGTGGGATTGTAACACCACCCTAACCCCGGTCACATCCCTGATCCAATGTAAAGGGAGTTTCCCTAGGGTGTGGCCTGCATCACCTGTTATCTCTTGTAAGAGATAAAAGGAAAGGGAAGCAAGTGGAGAGTGGGGGACCTCATACTACCAAGAAAGAAGCACCGGGAGCAGAGTGCGTCCTTTGGACCTGAGGTTCCTGCGCTGAGATGCTCCCAGACCAAAGGAAGACTGATGCATCACAAGGACCTTTCTCCAGAGCCGACGGAGAGAGAAAGCCTTCCCCTGGAGCTGATGCCTTGAATTTGGACTTGTAGCCTACTGGACTGTGAGAGAATAAATTTCTCTTTGTTAAAACCATCCACTCGTGGTATTTCTGTTAGAGCAGCCCTAGATGACTAGGACAGAGACAAGGCAGGATTCTCCCCTGGAACCTTCAGAGAAAGCAAGGATGGCCCTGCTGACACCCTAAATTCAGACTTCTAGCCTCCAGAGTTGTGAGACAAATGTCTATTGTTTTAAGCCACCTGGTTTGCAGTACTTAGTTATGGCAGCCCTGGGGAATGAATACACCTGTTCCAAAATATTCATTGACTCCCAATTTCCTCCAAGTCAATTAATCTCATAAACCTCAACTTAACTTTCTAAACTTTCCCTAATTAAAACTCTCTGCAGACCTTCTAACCTCATAAACTAGTCTCTAGACTACAAGATCGTTTATGTTAGCCATCAGGACTGTTCACAGATATTCCAGTTCTCCTTCCAGAGACATGCTATGATGGTATTTCCCTGTCCCCCTGAAGTTAGGCGTGGCCACATACCATGCAGCTCTTCTAGATGGAAGCTTTAAGAGCCTGTGGTAGGCACTTTCTAAAATGGCTCCCATGAGCCCAGCCTCCTGGTAGCCACACCTTCATGTAATCTCCTCCGCTCCAGTGGGCTGGACAGAGTGCCCTGCCTCTAATAGGCAGAGTATGGCAAAAGTGATGGGATGTCACTTCTGAGATTAGGCAATAAATGACTGTGATTTCTGTCATGCTAGCATTCTCTCTCTGGTTCTTTTGCCTCTGCCCTCATCCAACAGCTCTCAAGGAGATGAAGAATGCCCACAACCAGATGAGGGAGCTTGGAAGTGGATCCTGTCCCTGTCGAACCTTCCGATGACTGTAGTCCCTGGTAGACACTTGGATTGCAGCCTATGGGAGACCTGAGAGGGAGGACTTGGTTAAGCCGTGCCCGAATTCCTGATGCACCGGAACTGTGACATAATAAATGCGTGCTAGTTTAAGCCGTGAAGTTTTGGAGCAATCTGTCATGCAGCAATAGATGACTATTCCTTTCCCCCGCTGTGATGACCCTGAAGGCACAGGTTGAGATGGACCTTGTTGTCCCTGAGTGACTATGACGAGGAAAGCCCCCCACCAACCCACACTGAATAAGCAGAATGAATGAGAAATTAACCATTATCTATATGGATTGTTTGTTACTGTAGCATAACTTAGTCTTTCTTGACTAACACATCATGTATGTGAAAGCACTGTGAAATTTACAAAGGATACTCCAAATATAAAGAATTGCTGTTATCATCTGAGCATTAATTGTTCATTCCTATATCCTGGCCTTTGGTTATGTCTACTGTGTAAATGGATCCCATCTCTCCTCTCCAGCTATTTACATCTACCATGCTTCAATCTGACCTCTCCCACAAACTCTAACAACTCTAGCCTATAATGATCTGTCAGCCTCCTCTGAGCACTAATCACTCCATATTTCTCTTTTATATCACTTATTACAACTGGAACTAATTATGGGTGTATATCTATTCGGTGTCTCTCATCAACCCTGTAAACTCTATGAGGACAGGGATCCCACTGGTTTTCTTCATCAATACATTCCCAGCACCTGGCACAGCACCTAATACAGACATTTAAATAAACATTTAAATAAATGAATGAATGAATTCATACACTCTTATCCTCCTCTCTACACTCATTATGACACAATCACAGAATATTTTGTTAGTTATATTCATATCTCACATGTTTATGGGTTGCATCCCAAGTAGATTCTGAGTCCCTTGAGGCATGAATTGCATCCTTCACCTCACAGTCCACAACAGTGCCTTCAAAATAGTATAGTGCCTAGATTGGTGCCTTGTTCATGGCTGGAACACAATAATTGCAAAATTAATAAAACACCATGTGCTCAACAAATTATTGATAGATAAATTAATATAAAACATGCACGAGTCAGAACCAACTCGACAGCAATGGATTTGGGTTTTACTTATCAATTTAATGGTATAAATAGAATTCTTAAGGAAACAGGAGAGCAAATGAGGTAGGAGTATGAATGGAGGGTAGTGAAAGAAGGCTTTCTACAGGAGGACAGCTTGGGTTCAAATTTGTAAGGGGGCAGAGAAAGGGAACTTGCATTTAATTGGCTGCTGTTCCAGGCAACAGGCTAGATGCTTTGTGCGTATTATTTTGTTTAATCTTAAAAAAAAAAAAAATCCTACTTGTTAGACTCTACTATCCCATTTTACAAATGCAAAAACTCGGGCTCAGAGAGGTTAAGTGACTTGCTGAGGGTTACACAGCTAACAAATAGCAGAATCAGCAACAAACCCAAATCTACAAATAGCAGAATCAGCAACAAACCCAGATCTGCCTCTCTCCAAAGCCTGTCTCCTTCCACAATGCCACAACATAAATTTGGATTTAAGCCTGGTTCTGCCATTTATTGGCTGTATGGCCTTTGGTAATTTACTTAACCTCTTTTACCTCAGTTTCCAAGTTGGGATTAATCATAGTGCCTATCCTACAGGGTTGTTTAAGTGTTAAAGTGCATAGAATAGTGCCTGGGCAATGGGAGGTGCTCAGTAAATGTTAGCCATTGTTATGATTTTTGAAAAATGGATTTAAGAAAAAAAGAGTCCATCTCTCGCCTAAAAAAGAATTTCTATTAATGTCCCTTCATTGGTATCTACCTTTATTTGGTATTCCTACAGACTGAACTTTAGGACTGGAAGAAATGGGGAGTTTCAGGGACAAAAAAAAAAGCCATGTGGGAGACCCAGGGGTAGATCTCACCTCATCTGTCCCCCCAACCACCCACCCACCTCTCCCCCACTCCTCAGCCTACAGCCCCGCAGCACTAACTTGAGGCGTGGCATGGGGGCAGCCTCTCATGAATCACTCTCTGACAATCAACCCACACTACTTCTAACAGACCCTCCAACAGGACTGGCTACATAATTTTCAAGCTCCAGCACAAAACGACAATGTAGGGCCCCTTATTCAAAAAGCATTCAGACTTCCAAGATACCAATAGTAGAGCATTAAACCAAGCATGAGGCCACAGGCCCACGCAGCTGGACCTGTTCTCAAACCTCTACCCAAAAAATCAGTTACCACTGAGTCGACTCCCACTCATAGAGACCCCGTGTGTGTCAGAGTAGAACTGGACTCCATTGGGTTTTCAATGGCTGATTTTTCAGAAGTAGATAGCCAGGCCCTTCTTCTGAGGCACTTCTGGGTGGACTTGAACTGCCAACCTTTTGGTTAGCAGCCAAGCACTTAACCGTTTGCAACACCCAGGGACTCCCAAACCTCTACAGAGGGGGCAGCCAAAATGGCCTGCAGAATCAGAGGAAAATGAGCCAAGCTATCTCCTGCCCTGGCTTTTCCATCCAGGCAAAAAACAGAATGTCCAAAACTCCTTCCTGCAAATTAACTCAGTATTTTGATTAAAAACCATGATAAACTTGTGGGCGCAAGTAGAAATTGATGTTTTAATACAACTCATTAGAGCACCTTTATTAACTCCAGAAATAGAAAGAGGACATAAAACAGAAAGATTAGTTTAAAATCAACACTGCACTGCTGAGGGCAGCCTCGATTCCAGGAACAGTAATTGCTGGGTAGTTTCATTACTGATTAAATAAGAAATCTCAAATACCATTAGACAATTGTGATTAAATGTATATCATTCTAATTGAACGTGTGGTTTATTGCCTTCCACTGAATCGGCAGGTCGCCTTCCTGTTTCGGATGTTTTGGAAAGGGCACATCTGTGCAGTAGCGGTACTTGGAATCATTATTTCTGAGACAGTCCTGAAACCTTCGGAGTTGTATCCTAAAATATGGCCACTTTTGCAGTCATGAAGGAGAATACCATACAGTAGGGAACCTGAGACAATGAAAATAAATCCCACTTAATGTCACGGCTGGGCACTTTTGCCTCTCATCTCATTACCCAGCTCAGGGTTTTCTGATGCCAGAGTTACTCGCCATCTCTTGCCTTTGGAGTCATTTGAGGACTAGGAGGAGTTGGGCATCTTGGCTCTGAGCAGAAGCTCGAGTCCTTGAAACTGGATCCGGCTGGGTTCATAGGGAAATGAGAAACCTTTGGTCTAATCTCTCCCTCACTTCTGCTAAGGAGCCTGGGCAAAAGTCCTCGAAGGTCCATTCTTTCTTTCTTATTTCCTGAGGACAAAATAAATTTTGTCACTCTTTTGACTGGTTTGTGCTACCCGTTCATCCCGTGGGGCATAAACCTTGCTGTTTATTTTGCTTGGACTGAGAGCTGGGATGAAATAGGACAAGCATCTTGCCTGGGCTTACAGGCTACAGAGCCCCTCACAGCACATCTTCAGGCCAAGAAAACAGGACAGCCCCAGTCCCAGGCCCACCCTGGGGGAACTGTGCAAGAGGTTAAGTCCTTCTTAGCAGCCTTTTATTATTATTATTGCTATTGTTGTGAAAATATAGATAACACAGCATCTGTCAATTTAACATTTTTGAGTGTACAGTTCAGTGAAGCCAATTACATTAATCATGCTGTGCAACCATCACCAATATTCGTTGGCAAATTTTCCATCACCACAAACAGAAATTCACTATTTTCTTAAACAGTGATTTCTCCCTCTCCCCTCCCTCCCCTCCCTGGTAACCACTATTAAACTCTGATTTCTATACCAGTTGTCGCGGAGTCAATTCCGAGTCATAGCAATCCCACGTGCTGCAGAATAGAATTGCTGCTTAGGGTTTTCAAGGAGGTGACCTTTTGGAAGCAGATTACCAGACCTTTCTTCTGAGGTGCCTCTGGATGGGTTTGAACAGCCAAGCTTTCGGTTAGCAGTTGAGCGCTTAACCGTTTGCACCGCCCAGGGTCTCCTTGATCTGTATACATTTGCTAATTCTAGATATTTCCTACTTTTAGGAGCCTTTTGTTACACAGACACACACACACACAGTTACAGTCACCATGATCTAGCTAATTCCTGATCTGATCACATCACTACTATGCTTCAGGTGAAAGCTGAATTTTCCCTACTAGCTGGGCCTTCCAGGCCCCGCACCACCTTGCCAAAACCTCCCTCTCCCACCTTATCTCCCAGTGACACCCCACATCACCGGGCACAGACTCTCAATAGACCCCAACACAAGGATGCCTCTTGTTTCTGCTCACGCTGTCTGCTCTGCTAGGATCCTCTTGTTACAGTTACTGGGAAATTACTTGATATCCACGCTTCTCCAGAGTCCCTGGAAAGGAATGAGTTTCCCCCTCGTGAGAGTTAGGCCTGTCTTACTAAGGTCTAGACTCTCCTTACCACCAGGGGGCAGTCAACAGGGTTTGTACTTGAGTGCAAATGAGGAGAAAGGAAATCTGCTCAAACGCAGGAGTGGTGCCTGGCTTATAACAGGTATTAATAAATGATTGCAGGATGAATGAATAAATGGGTGAATGAATGATGCAGGTTTTAGGTCAGAGTGTGAGAGAAGGCAGTACTATGACAAGACTGTGGAAGAGAGGGTGGTGCAAATGGTTAATGCACTCAGCTGCTAATCCAAAGTCTGGAGGTTTAAGTCCATCCACAGACTCCTTGGAAGAAAGTCCTGGTGACCTACTTCGAAAAATCAGCCATTGAAAACACTATGGACACATGAGTCACTATGAGTCAGGGTCAGCTCCATGACAACTGGTTTTGGGCTCAAATTCAGCCTGTTGGTGAGGGCTGAGATTTTGCAGGCTGATGGCTGTGGGGTGTCAGGGAAAATATAGGCACCAAGCCACCCAGCTAGGCGTGGTGGGAGTGATGCCACCAGCAAAGCTGCCCATCATCTGGGAGCCAGGCTGGCCTGGACAGGAAGCTGGGTCAGAAAAGCTAGTTCAGGAGGCACCATAATGCTAGACAGAAGGTGGAAGACTAGCTGTATTATTACTGCATTATAATTATGTACCTAAAAACCTGTCTCTCTCACTAGACCAGGAGCTCCTTGAGGACAAGAACTGTGTCTAATTTACTTTTGTAGCCAGTATTTAGCACAACCCCTTGCCTAGCTTATAACAGGTATTAATAAATGATTGCAGGATGAATGAATAAATGAGTGAATGAATGGTGCAGATTTTAGGTCAGAGTGTTAGAGAAGGCAGTACTATGACAAGCCTGTGGAACAGAGGGTCTGAGGGCTATGGGTAGCGTCAGCTTTAAGACTGCGTGGTGGAGCAAACAAGTTTGCAGTAGGCTACGTGTTCGGCTGCTAAGAAAAAGGTTGGAGGTTTGAGTCTACTCAGAGGTGCCTCAGAAGAAAGGTTTGGTGATCTACTTCTGAAAAATCAGCCACTGAAAACCCTATGGAGCACAGTTCTACTCTGCCACACAGAGTTGGAGTCGACTCGACAGAAACTACTTTGGGCTTTTGGTTTTAGTAGAGCTGGTCTCCAGGGGTGCTGGGGCTTCACCGGGAGAATTAGAGGCCCCAGGGTATCAGGATGAAGATGGTAGAATACTGGAAAGGGATAGAGGCAGGAATAGCTGCTAACTCTTTCCCTTTCCTTCCTTTTCCCCCCTTCTCCCCCTTTATCCACTGGTCCCCTCTTCTCCCCTACTATACTCAGGAAGAGCAAGCTATAACAAGGCTGGCGAAGGGACAGCGCCCTCAGTCACTCCAGGGGAGCTATTTTGCAGGTAGGACACAGACAGACAAGGATATACTAAAATAAACAGTCGTGCTGCTGTGTGCAGCCAGCCCTCCCAGCCAGCATTTCTGTTGGGCAGGGAAAGCATCAGCACTTCTGTGCAACCCAGGATAAGTGATAAGGGAAGTACAATTCCCAGGCTGACAGCCTGCCTGCTAGATGTTCGAATAACAAGCCTTTCTTCTCTAAATTATCAGTTCTTCTTCCGTACAAAACAAAAATCAATAACAACTCTCTTCAGATTTACAACTTTCCTAATTTGGAAGTTCTACTTTTAAGCCTACTTTAAATACTCTGTTCTGAGTGGTGCAAACAGTTAATGCACTCAGCTGCTAACTGAAAGGTCGGCATTCAAGACTACCCAGAAGCACCCTGGAAGAAAGTCCCGGCAATCTGCTTCCAAAAGATCAGCCATTGAAAACCCTATGGAGCACAGTTTTACTCTGACACACGTGGGGTCGCCATGAGTTGAAATTGACTCGATAGCAACTAACCCCTTGCTGTTGCCATCAAGTCAATTCTGACTCATAGTGACCCTACAGGACAGAGTAGAACTGCCCCATGGGGTTTCCGAGGAGTGGCTGGTGGATTCCAACTGCCTACCTTTTGGTTAGCAGCTGAGGTCTTAACCACTGTGTCTATTAAGCGACTAGTAACTCGGGCCTCAGGTCTAGAGCACGGAACCCGTCCAAATAGTCTATCCACAGTCAGGAGAGGGTCTGTCAGTACCCAGAGCTACAGCCACCTCTGAGAAGAGTTTCTCTGCATTAGAATTTGTAGTCAAAGTCCCCAGCCAGCTCTGGTTTCAGAATCTCATTTCATGACAGCTGTGTACTTCACAGGCTGGTAGGCGTGACAAATTGTCTTATCTTTGTCTAACCTTCGTTGAACCCATGCTTGCTTTGGGGCTTAACTTTAATATATGACACCAGTTTAATAGCATAGTGGTCTAGTTCTTTTAGAATGTCAGATGGTCAAATGCTGAGTCATGCACCAAGAAAAGGCTGATCCTGAGTAGAAATTAGAATCGCTGGGGCACTCAGAGTAACACCACGTATCTTCGATCTAAATAGAGGGAGACAGAACTTAAGTTCAGATCAAATTTAGAAGGTAGTTCTAAGCTCCGAAGGAACTGTTTCCTCTGAAAGACAAGAATGAGTCAGACAGAATGCTCGAGCATCCGTTGAAATATTGTCGCTCCTAAAGGTAAACACAGTTGTGTAGGTGTGACATTCAACACTTTATGTACCAACAATTGAGTAAGCTGTACTAAAGGAGACCACAACTATGAAGAGAATCAAGAAAATAGAGGCGTAAGAAGCAGTACAATCCTGCCTACATGCCTAGAAGTTTCTTTTATCTTTGCTTTATAAATGTATATTCTTTACATTTAAAAATGAATCAAACCCCTCGGTAATAATTGTTTCAGTCTAGAATCATTAATGAATCTTAAAATCAGTGGGCAAAAGTATGATGAGAAACAGGATTTCTACAAAGTCTCAAAGTATCTCCCCCCACAAATACTTACTAATTACAAAAGGGAAAATTGGAACTTTAGGGTGGAGAAACTTCACAGTCACTACCTTAAACAAGAGATCAAAGTTAGCATCGTAAGTAGCAGGACAAATAGAAATCATATGCTTCCTGATAGGATGCTTTGAGAAGGACGCAGCTTCTGTGGTATTCTTGCCAAAAATGGATAACCTGGGTTTAAATCACAAGGAAACATTACTCAAACCCAAATTAAGGACCTTCTACAAAATGACTGGCTTATACTCTTCAAGGGAGTAAGTGATTAAGCGCTCCACTGCTAGCCAAAACGTTGGCAGTTTGAACCCACCCACCTGGAAGACAGGCCTGGCGATCTGCTTCCAAAACGTCACAGCCTTGAAAACCCCATGGAGCAGTTCTATTCTGCACACATGGGGTTGTCATGAGTAGGAATCATCAACTCAACGGCAACTAACAACAATACTCTTCAAAAGTGTCGAGGTCATGAGAGACAAAGAAAGACTGAGGAACTATTTCAGATAAAAAGAAAACTAAGGAGATATGATAAGCAAACGCAATAGGTGATCCTGGATTGGACTTGGGCCTGAAAAAGGGCATCAGTGGAAAACTTGACAAAGTTTGAATAAGTCTATAGAATTGATAATAGTATAATATGCAACCATGTTCATTTCCTGATTTTGATCATTGTGCTCTAGGCTCTTTAAGATGTTAACATTTGGGGGAACTAGGTGAGGGGTGTATAGAAATTCTTTGTATTATTTTTACAACTTTTTTCTAAGTCTAAAATTAATTCCAAACGCAAAAGTAAAAAATAAATAAAAATTTAAGTGAATTAAATGATTTCAACTTAGCAATGGTAAGCAATTATAAGACCAACTCCACAGTCTCAGAGAAAAAGCGTTTTGGTAACTGTTGAAAACGCAATAGAACTATTCAAAAATATATGAAACCAGCTATATCAAAAACAAAGCATACGTCACGGCTTTCTTTTTCTTTCTTTGTAATTGTATAAAATTTACAGATTTTTCTTCAAGATAGACAGGACCAGCTTTGGAGCTAGAAGAGCTGGTGTGAAGCAGGGCGGGTGCCTCTCTGTTTTCCCACTTTGAAGGCAGGAGGCTTTGGCTGAGTTTCTCTTAGCTCAGTCTCCTCATGCATTAAATGGGTTCATCTTAGTGCCTTGCTAAGATGTATGAGAGGGCAGCACAAACTGAACACCACTATTCAACTTCATAGCAGGGCACAGCAGTCCCATCATGGCCCTGGGAAGAAGTCTGGGTCATTTTGCAGCAGCTTGCTTGGCTGGAGGGGACAGTAGACTAAATAACTGGTCTCACTCTGTGTTATGGATTGAATTGTGTCCCCCAAAATCATGTGTTGTAAATCCTAACCCCTATCCGTATTGGTAGATGTAATCCCATTTAGGAATAGGGTTTTCTTTGTTATGTCAATGAAGTCATATCAGTGTAGGGCGTGTTTTAAGTCAGTAGACTTTGAGACATAAAAAGAGCAGATTAGGCACAGAATTGAGGAAGCAAAAACGGAGGGGATGATACACGCCACATGAAGATTGCCAAGGGACTCAGGAATAGAAGCTGAAAAGAGACAAGGTCCTTCCGCCCAGGCAGACAGACAGAGCCGGCACCCTGAATTCCTAAACTATGAAAGAATAAATTTCTGTTCGTTCAAGTCACCCACTTGTGGTATTTCTGTTATAGCAGCATTAAGAAACTAAGACACCCTGGGACAGCCATATGTGAAGTCTCAGGCCTCATCTCTCAGTTGTCACCAACTCTCCCTTGAGGATTTCCTCACTCCGTTGGGCAGCCCCTGGGATTCCAGAGGGTCCTCTGCAAGAGACAGGACAAACCCTACATTCACCACAATGGCTGTGTTGTTTGCGTCTTTGAGCTGCAAGCTCCCTGCAGCCCCCCAATCCACTTCCAGTTTCTCATGAACATATTCTCAGCTCTAAGACTGCTGCTTGATTAGGGGCATGCTTTACATTCTGTACCACCAACCTGGTGCCGCATGTGGCAAAGGCAGAGCCTGCTGACGGGCGCCTGGGACCGGCAGGAGATGATGAGACCGCTGGGCCTGGGTCCCCCAGAGCTCTTCTGCTTGGAGATTGCAGTGGAAGCCTGCTGGCTGCCCTCCTTCCACCCCAGGCCTCAGACGAGGGAAATTTCATTCATTCCCCACCCACTGTACTCACATCTGCTGCAGGCAGTTCATTCTCAACCCCATAGGGCACAGGAAAATTGCTTTTCACTCTCGTGGAGGGTGCAGAAGTCTACAGTTCCTGCAGCCCCCACATTCCCGGGCTCTCAAGGCAGGGGCCAGACAGACAGTATTTGTTCGTGTCTGCCATCCAAGTCACTTTCTAGTCTGGTGGTTCTCTGTCTCACCCCCCTGCTCCTGCACCAGCCTGTCCTCCCAGGGCAAATGGAGAGCAGCCAGACTGCTTCTGGCCTTCTGGGTGCTGCTGTCTCTAAACAGCTAAGTCAACAAGCATTCATGGAGCCCCTCCTATCTATCAAACCAGCCACTCTGGCAAAGGCGACCCACAAAAGGCTTTCGAAGTCAGAGAGATCTGGGTGCAAATCCTGACCCTAGAGCATGTTAACTGTGCATCCTTGGGTGAGTCATTACCCTTTCTCTTTTCAATTACCTCACCTGTACAATGGATAAAATAGTATCTACCTTGCAGGGTGGTTCTGAGGCTCAAATGAGATGATGTCTATTAATCACCTGGTGCAAGGTATGGGGAAACCCTAGTAGCGTAGTTGTTAAGAGCTATGGCTGCTAACCAAAAGGTTGGCAGTTCAAATCCACCAGGCACTCCTTGGAAACTCTATGGAGCAGTTCTACTCTGTCCTATAAGGTCGCTATGAGTCGGAATCGACCTGACGGCAACGGTTTGGTTTTGCAGGGCATGACACATGCTGAACATTCAATAAAGGTTTAGTTCCCAGCCTCTTAAATAATATTGTTGTTAGTTGCAGTTGAGTTGACTCCAACTCATGGCGACCCCATGTACAATAGAAGGAAACATTGCCTGGTCCTGTGCCATCTTCATGATCACTGGTCTGCTGAAGTCCACTGTTGTGGCCACTGTGTATTCTGAGTGCCTCCCAGCCTGGAGGGCTCATCTTCCAGCACTATATCAGACAATATTCTGTTGTGAATACTGGCTGATTCAGTTTTCATTGGCTGATTTTCGGAAATAAATTTCTAGGCCTTTCTTCCTAGTCTGTCTTATCCTGGAAGCTCCACTGAAGTCTGTCCACCATGGGTGACCCTACCGGTACTTGAAAAACTGGTGGCATCATAGCAACACGCAAGCCACCACAGTATGACAAACTGACAACAGGTAGTGGCCTTAATGATATAATTATTGTTTATGGAGCAGACCAGTCCCTGATGTGGGCACCTTAACTACATTATCTTATATAATCCCACAGCAAATCTATGGGATAGGGATCTTTATCCTCTAATATGTGAGGAGACTAAGGCTCAGAGAGGTCAAGTAACTTGCTCAAGGTCATACAGCCAGTAAGTGGCAGAGTCAAGACTCAAACCTACCTGGCCCCAGTAGAAGGTTTTGGGGTCTTCACAGCACGGCCTCCCCTCTGCTTTATCACTCCTCAAGAATGGACTGACATCACCAGATGTGGCAACTGGGAGGCACCAGATCCTAGAACCAAAAACAGATGCTGGAAGGATACCCACGCCGCGATTCACAGCAGCAGACCCAGAGGTAGAGGGAAGGGGCACCACAGCTCAAAGTACAATCACACAAGCAGCCTGAGTCTCACACCAGAGAGACAGAGGGCCACCTGGCCAACTGACCATACTTGGGGAAACTGGGTCAAGTGACACTAAGAGCCCTACAGGTGGTTGGTATTAAGGAAGTATGTTGGTCAGATTACCTTCCAGGATCAACAGCAGTATCTGGGAGCTTGTTAGAAATGCAGAATCTCAGGCCCTACGAGACCTACTGCATCAGAATCTGATTTTTAACAAGATCCACAGGGATTTCTTATGCATATTAAAGTCTGGGAAACACTGGCTCAGAAGGCAGCTCAGAAGGTGGCCAGCCACTAAATTGGCTGGATGTTGAATCACCTGGGGGACTTTTTATAATCCCAGTGTCCAGGCCACACCCCAGATCACTTAAATCAGAATCTGTGGGAGTGGGATACAGGCATCAGTGATTTTTAAACACCCCAGGTGGGCATTAGCATATGGTTGTTAAGAGGAAGAAGTCTGGAAATCAGACCCACCTTCAAATTTACGGACCATGTTGCCTGGGGCATGTTACCTTGCATGTCTGAGCTCCAGGGTTCTCATCTGGATAGCAGTGATAATAGCAATATCCTCCCCACGGGGTTGTCTGTGAAGTTCTGTGACCCAGGAACCAAGAATGCTGTAAAGTGCTATTATGGTGGTACCTACCCTTTTTGCTTTTCATGCCACATTTCCTCTGCAGCTTCAAAACAAAAGGAAGTGAGGCTTCATTTCTTTTGGTTTTGTCATTTAATTTAACGCCAGTTCACCCCCCACAAAGTTTCTAGAAGACATGGAAGGGGAAAAAATAGTCAATTGGATTTGCCTCACTTAGTACTTATTGAGTCTCCTGCCTACCCTGTCCCTTCTCGTCTCCCTCATAACACTCCTTGGTATATGAAGCATTGAAGGAAGAGGAGAAAGAGCAATCAGGTCTGACCTCACAGGCCCGACAGCCCTACAAACTGGTCAGGATTCTTAGCTACAAAGTCTCGTCCAGGCTATGCAGAATTACTCATCACGTGGGCTAGGCAAGACCTCTAGTTCGGTCTCAACATGGAGTCTCTTTTTTCTGCTAGATTAGGATGGGGTCCACTGCAAAGTGAAACAGGAGGGTCTTCTGGAAAGAAGAGGGACATGTAGAAGACCTGTGTTCAACCTTGATCCTTCAAGGGGTGAGGATCCGGTCAGAATTTTATGTTTAATCCCAGTTCTCCCTCTAATTTACTTTATGACATGAGATGAATTGTTTAACCACTCTTTCTGAGTTCTTAATTCTCCTCCTGATGTGATGTTACAAATCTCTGTTAACCATTGGAATGTGGCTGGAAATTTATGAATGGTCTATATAACATTAAGTAATAAGAATACCTTATATTTATAGATATTTGATCCTATTTAAAGTACTTTATAGGTGGTAAGGAGTCCCTGAGTGATGATAGCAGTTAACACACTCAATTGCTAACTGAAAGGATAGAGGTTCAACTCTACCCAGAGACAACTCAGAAGAAAGGCTTAATGATCTACTTCTGAAAAATCAGCCAAAAAACTCTATACAGCACAGTTTTACTCTAGCACATGAGTCAGAATCAACTCAGTGGCAACTGGTTTTTTTATAGATGGTAAACAAAGAAAGTATTATCGTCCCCATTTTACAAATTTTAAAACTGAGATTTAAATTTACAAAATTGCCCAAAGTCTAAAATTTTATGTGAAAGGCAGTGTCAAGGAAATCCAGGGCTTCTGACTTCTAGGCCAGTGCTCTTCCCACACTGCCAACTTCAGGGTTCCACTGAATATATCCATGAAAAACACATTTTCCACACTTCTACCCCCATAGAAAAAAGTGATGGTGGCAGGCATACCACTTCCAGCTGTGGTTGGTCCTACTTTAGAATTGAAGGAAGAGTTCAGTTTTCCAAATAAAGTCACCACTAGAAACAAAGTTTGCAAAATTAGATTTCATATTAAGGAGTCTTTCTCATTAGAGGGGAGTGGGAACAATGCCAAGGAGAATGTAATGAAGACAGCTGAAGAGGCAGATGAGCAGACTTATAAATTACTCAACAGTTCATCACAAGAGCCCCCCAAGACCCTGAGGCACAATGGGAAGACTGGTGCTCCATTCCATTCAAGTAACTCCATGATCTGAGAGGAGGATCATGGCCTGGATTTCATCTCCCCTCAAGACAGAACCTAATGGGCTTTATTCCCAAAGTCGAGAGTGGTAGGTACCTTTTAGGACTCTGCCCAGCTCACAATGAGCCTCTTTCTCTGAGAACTGCCCCTACCCCTTAGGTGGAGCCAGCAGTCATGCGTGTACCATCACATACACATGAACACACAGCCACAGTTGACTGGGCCTGGGTGGTCACTTGAACCAAGCCAGGACCATCTAATTCTCTCTCTCCCTGGAGTATGGAATTAGGAATAGAGACAGCCAGTCAGTCTGAGCTGGGTTACTTGAATGGAAAACTCAGGAGCTATGAGACATCCATTTTACACTATGCATGTGGAGAAGCAGAGACAGTCACATGTACATCCTGAACAGGACTTTGTTTACAACTAGTGTTTCCTTCAGAGCGAAGCAGAGGCAGAGATGGAATGAGGGGTCAAAGTTCTTAATAGGTTCAGAAATACTACTCCCAACTCTTTAATAAGTAAACTGAATTCCTAGACCTAATTTTTAAAAGTAAAATAAAATCAGGTCCACTTAGAGTTTAAAATGGCATATGGCTAGAATCTGCTGATGAAATGTCTCCAAACATCTCCTTAAATTACTCATGACACAGAAAGAAGATAAAAATTCACAACAACATGAAAAATGAAGACCGACTGACAACTGTTTCCAGAATCCAGAAGGAATTTCAAGTAACTCAGTAAGGCTAATGCAGCAGAGATACACTGAGACAAACACCCCATGGCCTACCCATGCTTCACCTTATAGAACAGAGTAGCCCATCCACCTGAAAGATGATGACTTTTCCTTTCTCTCCCACTTTCTACCCCCAGCTCAGAAGCCATAGCCAAATCAAATGAACACCCAACTCTCTACTTTGGGTACTACTGTTCAGATGGTCCAGAGAACTGTTCTTTCTCCCCCACCCTATCTAAATCCATTCGTAGAATGTGATTACTGGGAACCACAAAGCAGAAAGTGGGAGAGAACTAGAAATCCAAAAGATAAACAATGAGATTTCAGAAATGGACAGTGTCATAGAAGGGCTGAGGAGCAGGTTTGAAACAATGGAAGACAGGACTAGTGAAACTGAAGACAAACACTTGGCTACAACTTTGAGGAAAAATCAGAAAAAAGAACGAAGAAAAATGAAGAAACCCTGAGAATTATGTGGGATATAATCAAAAGCAAAAATTTGCAAGTGATCGGAGTTCCAGAACAGGGAGAGAAAACAGAAAACGCAGAGAGAATTATTGAAGAATTGCTGACAGAAAACTTCCCTAATATCATGAAAGATGAAAAGCTGACCATCTAAGAAGCTCAACGAACCCCATATAGGATAGACCCCAAAAGAAAATCACCAAGGCATATCATAATCACACTCGCTAAAACCAAAGACAGACAAAGAATTCTGAGAGCAGCTCAAGAAAAACAAAAAGTCACATACAGAGGGGAAACAATAAGACTAAGTTCTGATTACTCAGCAGAAAACCATGCAGGTAAGAAGGCAATGGGATGACATATATAAAACTTTGAAAGAAAAAAATTGCCAACCAAGAATAATATATCTTGCAAAACTCTTGTTCAAATATGATGGTGAAATTAGGACATTTCCAGATAAACAGAAATTAAAGGAATATGTAAAAAACAAATGAAACTTACAAGAATTATTAAAGGGAATCCTTCAGTTTGAGAACAAATATCAGACGACAGCCTGAATCTAGGACACAAGATCGCACCAGCCAGATAGCAACCTAGGAAATGAACTCACAAGGACTATTCAAAACCAAAAGATTTACAACAGGGAACCAAAGAGGTTAATCTGCAAATGACAACAACGTCAGAACAATAAAAGAGGGAATAAAAGGTATAGGTATAGAACTTTCCAGTGGAGAGGAAGGCAAGGCAATACCAAGCAATAACAAACTAGTTCAAACTTAGAAAGATAAGGGTAAATTTCAATACAACCACAAAGAAAGTTAACAAACCTACTCGTCAAAATAAAGAAGGAAAACATGAACTCTCAGTAAAAACAAAACCTACAAAAACGAAATGAAAACAAAATGCACAAACAAAAGGAATTCAGCACAGGAGAGTAAGAGGAACAAAGAAATCATCAGTACCACAAAAGAAAGTGCTAAAAATGAGAACAATAAACTCACACCTATCAATAATTACACTGAATGGAAATGGCCTAAATGCACCCATAAAGGAGACAGAGAGTGAGATAGAATGGATGAAAAACCAGGATCCATCAATATGCTGTCTACAAGAGACACACCTTAGAAACAAAGACATAAATTTATTAAAAATCAAAGGATGGAAAAAAATATATCAAGCAAACAGCCACCAAAAGAGCAGGAGTGGCAATACTAATCTCAGATAAAATAGACTTTAAAACAAAATCCACCATAAAAGACAAAGAAGAGCACTACATCATCATTAAAGGGACAATCCAGCATGAAGACATAACTATAATAAACATCTACACACCCAGTGACAGGGCTCCAAAATACATAAAACAAACTCTAACAGCACTGAAAAGAGAAATTGACAGTTCCACTATGATAGCAGGAGACTTCAATACACCACTCTCAGTAAAGGACAGACCATCTAGAAAGAAACTCAACACAGATACAGAAGATCTAAAGGCCACATTCAGTCAACATGAACTCATAGACATATACAGAACACTCCACCCTACAGCTGCAAACTACACATTCTTTTCCAACGCACATGGCACGTTCTCCAGAACAGACCACACTTTAGGCCACAAAGCAACCCTCAACAAAATGCAAAATACTGAGATAGTACAAAGTATATTCTCTGATCACAATGCCATCAAAGTAGAAATTAACAATGAAAAGCAAGGAAAAAAAATTCATTACATGGAAACTAAATAACATCCTGCTTAAGAACCACTGGGTAATAGAGGAAAGCAAAGATGGAATCAAAAAATTCCTAGAATCAAATAAGAATGAAAATACATCATACCAAAACCCTTGGGACACAGCAAAGGCAGTCCTCAGAGGACAATTTAGAGCAAAAGATGCACACATCAAAAAAGAAGAAAGGGACAAAATCAAAACATTAACTACACAACTCAAACAAACAGAAAGAGAACAGCAAAAGAAGCCTACAGCCACTAGAAGAAAAGAAATAATAAAGATCAGAGCAGAAATAAATAAAATAGAGAATAGAAAAACAATAGAAAGAATGAACAGAACCAAAAGTTGGTTCTTTGAATGGATCAACAAAATCAACAAACCACTAGCCAGACTGACAAAAGAAAAACAGGAGCGGACACAAATAACCCAAATAAGAAATGAGATGGGGGACATTGCAACAGATCCAACTGAAATAAAAAGGATCATAACAGAGTACTATGAAAAACTATACTCCAACAGATTAGAAAACCTAGAGGAAATGGACAAATTTCTAGAAACACACTACCTAAACTAACACAAAATGATGCTGAAAATCTGAACAGACCCATAACAAGAGCTTGAAAAGGTAATAAAAAAAACTCCCCCTTCCCCCCCAAAAAAGTTCTGGCCCAGATGGCTTCACTGGAGAATTCTACCAAACATTCAGAGAAGAC